TGCAGCCTTTGTAGAGAGGGTTCAATCCTGGCCGGCCAGCGAGAATCCCACATGGCGAAGTAAACCTCCCCTGTCTCACCGGCTGTTCACCTCAGCAGTGTATTTCGTCAGTCTGCCTGTTCTGTTTCCCACTTTGTCTCTGGTGAATCTTCTCATCAGGCCTGTACCCCATTCTTGTATTAAAAATAAATAAATCTTTAAAAAAAAATCCATCACAACAAAAAAAAGTTTAAAGTCCTATGATCATATCAATATATACAGAGAAATCATTTGACAAGATTCAACATTCATTTATTATTAAAAAACTTTAAAAAATGGTAAAGATGGAACATACCTAAACGTAATAAGGCCTATATACAACAAGCCCATAGTTAACATGATATTCTTTTTTTTTTTTTTTAAGATTTATTTATTTATTTACACAAGCACTGTGCACAGTCAGAAGCACGGGAGGGTCGGAGAATTCACCAGAGCCAGAGCAGGGAGCAGAAAAGGCAGACTGATGAAGTACACTGCTGAGGGGAGCAGCAGGCAGCAGGAGAGGTCTGCGCACCATGTGGGACCCTTGCCTGGCAGCCAGGGATGATCCGGCGCTGTAGAGGCTTCAGGCAGCTTCACAACCCAGCGCTCAACCACTGTGCCACCATGGGAGGCCCTAACATCATATTCAATGATGAAAACTGAAAGCTTTTCCTCTAAGATCAAGTAAAAAAATAAGTATATCCACTACACCACTATTATTCAATATAGTATTGGAAACCCTACTTAGGCAATTAGATAAAAGAAAGATAATCCAAACTGGGAAAGAAGAAGTAAAACTATCACTATTTGCAGAAAACATAACAATATAGAAAGAAAACCCCAAAGTCTCCACTAAAAAAAAAAAAAAAAAAAAACTTACAAAATCAGCAAATTGGCAAACTTAAAATCTACATAAGAAAATCTGCTGCATTCCTACATGTAAAGAACAAACAGGAAGAGAAAGAAATCAAGAAAATTCCAATTATAATCATATAATAATGAATTTAGTACCGGGCCTCCCCTAGTGGCACAGGTGGTTGAGCGCAGCACTGTGAAGCTGTCCACAGCCTCTGCAGCACGTGTTTGATCCCAGCGGGCTAGGGTTCCACATGGTGTGGTAGACCTCTCCTGTCATGCCCGCTGCTCCCTCAGCAGTATATTTTGTCAGTCTGCCTGTTCTGTTCCCCACTCTGTCTCTGGTGAATCCACTCACCCTCCCCCTAATCTGGCCTGTACCCTGGTTCTTGTATAAATAAAGAAATAAATCTTAAAAAATAAGAATTTAGTACCTAGGAATAAATTGAACAAAAGAAGGTGATGTGAAGTTGACTCAGTTTATTTTTAATCATTTTTTCAAAATAAATTAATAAGGAGAATCTTAATCTAGAATTATCAATATATTTTTATAACTATGTAATAACCCACAATATTTTATACCAAACTATTTTATTATCTGAGGATATATTCTAAAAATAATAGCGTTTATGTGAATCATAAATTTTAATATACTCTCAAATTACTTTCCAAAATGACTATAGGAATTTACACCACCATAGATCATTTGTAAGAATGTCCATTTCCATGCAGCTTTGTCAGAGTTGGAGGTGACTTTTTTCAGTATAATGGGTAAAACATGCCATGCCATTTTTATGTTTAATGTGAATTTGCTTGACTTCTCACCTGTTACAGTTATCAATGAATTTCTTCACTTAGTTAAGAAGTATTTTAGGGAATTTCAAGTATAACATTTATTTCAATGGCATGATGTCTAACACTAGCAGACACTCATTATATTATCAAATAAAAATATAAAATGATAGGCTATGAAAAACATACATCTTTTCTTGAAAAACTGGAGTTTTTCATTTTACATTTCAAAACTATGCTAATAACCCTGAGCACAAGAATACAATTTTCTACATGTTAAGATAACAATAAAAATTTAAAAGAACTTTAGTCATCATGCAGTATTAAAAATTTAGCAAGGTGTATATTCCACCTTTATTGGCAATGCAATAAAATGTTCAGGTGTGATGCATTATGGTTCACCAGCTGCTAGGCAGAATCAGTAATAATCATTAATACTTGCTCAAAGCTAACACAAAAATCAAACGCTTATTATGCTTCTTAATTTAGGAAACTGTATAATTATGTGTGTATGTACAATATACTACAAAGAAATGTCCATACATATATTTAATTAAAATTAAGTAAACTGAGTATTACTGATCAAAACTTTCTCTATTATAGTATGGTCTTTGCTGTACTTTCTTTTATCTTACTTTAATGCCTTTAAAATACATACTTTTGGGGATTTTCCTTTTCTTTTCTTCTCCTATCTCAATCCACCAAATTCCAATGTGTTCTTTTCAACATTAGATAGAAATGACAATTAATCTGCTATGTCTTTGCTGGCTGTGTGATTAGAATTGCTCTCACTCGCCTTTAAATACCTTAGTCTTTTAACTACTATTGTTATCACATTCTGTCATTGAGATTCATGTACACATGTGTCTCTCACTTGTATGCAAACTCATTTAAGAACAGGGTTTCTTATTCTATGGATAAGTTTCATAAGACCAAGGTAAAGAAACATGCCTTTTTGAAAAATCACCTTTGAATGACCTTGGTATTTAATATGTCCAGATCCTTGGAGCTTTCCAAACTGCTTATTAAACTATAACATTCATTTAAATTCCCTTTCAGTATTTAGCACAATGACTGAACTATTAGGTATACAAAATTATTTTATTTGATCAAGGGCTCCTGGAGCTGCCATCTAAACCCTTTCAGCCTTCTGCATCATATGATTTCTGTACGTGTGATTAAGAACGCTATTAAGAATTCTCTTTCTTCGCCATACTTTAAGTTCCTTCATTTTAAAAATCTATAACTCCAAGTTTATTTGTTTTGTTTTACTTTTCATTTGCTTCAGGGTTGCTAAAAACAAGCCTGAAGAGCCTATGTTGAACATATCACATTGCAATGAGACATTTGCTTTTGTGTCATGTTTGCAACTGTATTCTTGGTCCAATAAGTGCTCACAGCAAAAGATTAAAGCAGATAACTAGGTTTTCAATGTGTATGCAAAAATCTTTATTCCTGAGAGTATGCAGTTTAAACATGTTATGGAGATCCAGTTTGGCATTCAAATTAAATACCTCCCTACTCAATTGCATAAGCAAAGTTCTGAGTTCTCAGGTTCTTTCATTATTTGTTTAGTGGGAAAAAAAAATTAAGCAAATAATGTCCATATTACAGAATAATGTTGATATGCATTGATTTGACTTTTCAGCATCATTCAATTAATAAAAAGTTACTGAGTGTCTAGGTACACTCACTTTCTAGGTGCTGACTCATGAAGAAAGTGCAATAGCAAAAAAATAAGGTAAAATAAAATAAAGGACACAAAGCCTCTGCTCTCCTGGGCCTTCTTTTCTATATGTCAGGGAGTAGTTTCATAAGAGCAGAGTAGGGTAAGAGGACAGAGAATACCTGGCATGTGATTGCTACATTTTGATTACATGCATCAGGGAAAGCTCATCTGATAATATTGGAGCAAACACAGGCAGGCAGGCAGGCAGGCAGACAGGCAGGCAGGCAGGAAGGAAGGAAGGAGAGAAAACCATGCCAGTGTTATGAATAGGGTTGGGAAAAGGTAGAAGAAATCAGAAGTAATTCAGAAGAAAGAACAGTGCAATGACTGCTGTAGAGCTGGGATTGTCATGTTTGTGAGATAGCTAGGAGGTCCGCGAGAATGACTAGAAGTAGGAAAAGTGGTAGAACACAAGATCAGAGGGCTAACAGCAGACCAGATCTGAAGGGTGGGAAAAGGCTGTTGAACAATTTTATTTCAATGTGAATGACTTAGGAAAGCTGTGGAAGATTTTGAACTAGGAGTAGCATGATCTAACTTACATTTAAAAGATCACTCAGGGCCTCCCTGGTGGTGCAAGGGGTTAAGCATTGCACTATGAAGCAAACCGCAGCCTCTGCAGCACGAGTTCAATCCCCGGCCGGCCAGGGAGCTACCCACATGGTGCAGCAGACCTCTCCTGCCTTGCCCACTGCTCCCCTCAGCAGTGTATTCCAATCAGGTGCCTGCTCTGTTCCCCACTCTGTCTCTGGTGAATCCTCTCACCCCCGTGTCTCTGGCCTGTGCCCCAGCTCTTGTATGCATAAATAAATAAATCTTTTTAAAAATAAAAAAAAATAAAAGATCACTCACATTTCAAGGTGGAGTATGTATCATCTTAATGCAAGGATGGAAGAAGAGGGGTTAATTTTCAAAGGCAATTGGAACTTCTAGGTCAAGACATGAAGGTGTCTTGGTCAGAAGTTGTAGTAACGGAGGTGTGGTTATAAAGGGGAAGATGCCTAATGTATTTTTTTCTTTGGTGTTTTAAATTTAGAGCATAAATGAAAAATGAAAGTTAAAAAAAAAAACAACTAAGAGTGTTCTGATTTGATGCAATGGTAAGATAGAGAAGACTGCTAAAGATGTGGGAAGAATAGGCATGCATGCCTAGAAATAAAGAGTAGATGAAGGTAATCAGCATAGTTATGTTACTGGAAGCATTGTGACTGACTGAGATACCAAGGGGGGAATGTAGATACAGAAGACAGGATATCCATTGACTGAACATTGGAATGCTATAATGTTTTGTGGTTGACAAGATAAGAAAAATGGAACAAAGAAGACAAAGACTGGCTAGTGATGAGAATCAAAGCCAAATGAAGCAAATGAGTAAACAAATTCTCAGCTTCATCAAATGTTGTGAATGAATTAAGGACTCACTATTATTGATTGGATAAGATAATATGTACAGCATTGGGGACTATAAAAGAGCAGTTTCAGGGCCCCCCTGGTGACCTAGAGTTTAAGTCTCAGCACTACACCAGGACAGCCCACTGTGACAGCCTGGTCTGAGTCCAATCCCCAGGCAGGGAGCTAACCCACATGGCTCAGCAGACCTCACCTGTTTTGCTTGCTGCTCCCCTCAGCAGTGTATTCCAGTAGATCTGCCTGTTCTGCTCTCCACTCTGTATCGGGTGAATCCTCTCACCTAACACGCCTCTGGCCTACGCCCCAGTTCTTCTACAAAGAAATAAATAAAATTGTAAAAAAAGAGCATTTTCATAGAGTGATGGAGAACAATGCTTAATTGCACAGATCAAACAAAACACAAGGCAGGAGATCAAGGGGAAAGACCAAGTACCAGAGTATTGACAGGTTTACAAAGTGTAAAAAGTGTATGGGGGATGGGAAGGCAAAGAACTGGAGTGGATGCATAGTTTACTATGCATAGTAGGCGCAATTAGATGCATAGTCAAGAGGTATTCTGTTAGAGTATCCCCCATGATGTTAGACTGTATTTATACAATAATGGACACTATTCAATTCAGGAGAGATGATGATAATGTATAAAAGATGGTAAATAATTTCAGGATCAAAGTCCTCATAAAGTGTGACTCTGTGACCCAATACTCACTAGAAGGATTTGCCATAAAAAGAACAAGTAATTCCAACCAAATAAGAAGGAAGACAGAGTATATGGCTTCAGATGCACGCATACTAGAAGATTTTGTGGTGTGAGCACATCCATTTTCTCTTCTGATTGCTGCTTCTTCTGCTGCTATTTTTTAACCAGTGAGATTTGAGGACAGACTGTTGGTTGAGAGTTTGAACTGGAGTATACTGGAGGTTTGAGGGTACATGAAGTTGTTGAAAATACTTGTCTAAGTGGGTCAATGAAGGAATCAGAATTAACTCTTCAGAGAATAAAATAAAGATGCAGAGGGTCAGAAGTGATTTTTCCCCCAGTGGGGACAGTAGAATCAGGATTTTCAGCCCTGCAATTAGTGTTCTGGGATTTCAGGCTCCAATAACCTAGGGGTAGAGCCTAATGTTGGCACCCTAAACAGACAAGTTCTCTGGCAGGATATTGGTAATGCCTTTCCTTCTTTAGGAACTTGCCAAGTCTGCCTAACATTCAAATAAATTCTAGTGTCTACTAAGCACTATTCAACTAGTTTTCTTCTGTATTTCATGTGAACCAGAATTGGTTTCTGTGGTTTGCAACCAACAGCTCTTTGTACAGGGGAAATAAAGTGATTTGATCTTGCATTAACCACCTTGAATCCATCTTGATTTAACCAAAGTGACTCCATACTGTACCCTGGGAAAACAGCTAATTTCCCCATTCTTTCCTCATATGTATTAACATGTACTCGTGATTTTCACACAAATCTATTGAGCTTAGTAAAACACAGACATATATGACATAATACCAGACACTGGGTATCATTAGTCTCAGACAAGAAAGATCACATGTACTAATAAGGAGGGTATAAGAAGATCTCTGGGACCTCCCTGAGGGTGCAAGGGGTTAAGTCTCAGCACTATGAAGCTACCTGCAGCTATTACAGCACAAGTTCAATCCCATACCAGGAGGCTAAACCACATGGTGCAACAGACCTCCCCTGGCTCACCCGCTGCTCCCCTCAGCAGTGTATTTCAGTCAATCCACATCTTCTGCTCCCCACTCTCTCTCTGGTGAATCCTCTCTCTCTCACACATACACACACCTGCAACTCTGGCCTACAGCCCAGCTCTTGTATGTATAAATAAATAAAATCTTAAAAAAAAATGTATCTGTAGGGGTAGGGAGGGTGTGGGATCTGCTTCCAAATGATGTCTACTGGTTCCAGTATCAAGAACCCTTGTACATAAATTGCCCTGAGTAAACCTTAGGTGTGATTAGAGGGCAACTACTTTATTTTCCAACCAAAATTACCTTCCTAGTTTTGTTACCGAAACCACTCCTCAGCAGTGGGAGCTGGCAGGAGCAGTGGTGTCCTCTCCCTCTGCTGCTCCACCACGAGTCAGTTATGGCAGTTGCTCCTCAGAGCCCAGTAACTGCTTTTGTGGCAGTTGTGGCAGTTGCTCCTCAGAGACCTTTCATGTAAAGCACACTTCCTGGATTGTGTAATGGACCAATCAGGTGCTATGGGCTGACTGGTAAATTGTCCAATCAGCCACAGGTTTGAAAAATGGTCCAATCATACTTGTGCATGGGCAGGGGGGGGGTGCCCTGAAAGAGGATAAAAACCAGGGTCTGAAGGAGCTGAGGGGAGGCAATGCCAGTCTGGAGAGAAATGACACCAGCCTCCAAAGGAAGAAGAAAAAGGGGAAGAGTCCATCCCTGGCCTCTGAAGAAAGAGCAGAAGCAGCATCCAGCAGCTGACCTCTGAGGAGGGAGGAGAAGCCGAAGGACTCTGTCACAGACTGGGCCTAAATTCTGTCTCTGATATTGCCTGAAAGGAGCACCAATGGCCCTAGGCCTGCTATCTCAAAGAGCTGTTTGATTGGCCTCCCTGGAGGCACAAGGGGTTAAGTCACAGAACTATGAAGCTATCCACAGCCTCTGCAGGGACAACCAGGGAGCTACCCACGTGGCACAGCAGACCTCTCCTGCCTCAGCCGCTGCTCCACCCAGCAGTGTTTCAGTCAATCCGCCTGTTCTGTGCTCCCCACTCTGTCTCTAGTGAATCCTCAACCCCCACACCTCTGGCCTGTACCCCAGTTCTTGCATGAATAAATAAATTGTAAAAAGAAAAGAGCTGTTTGTTGTTGTTATAACCCAACAACTCACAAAGAGCTATTAACACTGGGTGTCTCTGACACCGTCTCTGCAGGACCAGTAGTAGCCATCACTTCTGGCCAGTGCTGTCCAGCACTCCTGGTGACCGGTGGCAACCATCACTGATGCTACCTGGGTGAGATAGCAGCCACTTGTGGATGAAGTAAGCTCTTTGTTTCTCCTGTTTGTAAAATAAAAACCATGGTTGTTGTTCCTGGAGTCTGAGGTATCTTTCAATTTTGTGCACATGTTAGAACCCACAGAGAGTGACCTGATAAGTTAGGCTTTAGCCCACAGGCCCCTCTTGTGTGGGTGTTGTATTGCAACAGCTCTTGGTTTTGGTATTTGGCCTTTTGGGGCTTTTTGGTGGCTTTCTTGTCTCAGAGCCTAGGCAGGTGGGTGGCCATTCCATCCTTCTATTCGAACTCCTGTCTTGTTGCCCTTTTGTGGCCCTCTCCACCCCCGTTTCAGTTTGGGGAAGATTATTCATTCCTGTAGCTACACACCTATGTAAACTGGAAGTCATTAGTTGAAGTTAGCCAAGATTTGTGGCAAATATCTGGATGCCTCAAGGGAATTATATCATAAAGTAACACACCACAGCTAGTTTTATGTTTGAGAAATTTTGCTCAAAATAATAAAAAAAATATATTTTTATTTATTTATACAAGCACTGGGTACAGTCAGAATCGCGGGAGGGTGAGAGAATTCACCAGAGCCAGAGCGGGGAGCAGAGCAGGCAGAAGGACCGAAGCACACTGCTGAGGGAAGCAGCGGGCGGCAGGAGAGGTCTGCGCGCCATGTGGGACCCTCCTCTTGTGGCCGGGGAGCAGCCGGGGATCAAACCAGTGTTGCAGAGGCTGTGGGCAGCTTTGCAACCCAGCGCTCAACCGCTGCACCACTGGGGAAGCCCAAGAAGCCATGCTTTTAAGCTAGGTAACTTCTAACAGAGTCTCTATCTGAAGGCATCTAAAGCTATGGGTTTTATGAGGACATCAGGTGGTATATTTAGAGACATAATCATCACTGTCAGGAATGGTATGAAATTTTAATCAAATCCTACCAGAGAATTTTGTAACTAGGTCAAGAAACATTTCCCTCTAATGAGCTGTATCATGTAAATCACTCCCAGGAAATATAGGAAATACATACTCGGTAGAGGATTAGTTAACACTAAGTAAGGCATCTATTCCAGTAGTCAGCTCCACAAAACTGCATCACTGATAGTATAAAACTGAGAAAAGAAGTTGTTACATATAATTCAAGCCTACAGCTGTAACATAAACAGAATAATTTCTCTCTATATATAAAATATATATCTTTATATATACACATATAAATATACTTGTGTGTATGTGTGTGTGTGTGTGTGTAGAGAACTGGGGTGTAGGTCAGAGGTGTGGAGGTGAGATGATTCACCAGAGGCATAATGGGGAGCAGAACAGGTTGTTCTACTGAAATATACTGCTGAGGGGAACAGCGGAGGAGACAGGAGAGGTATGCTGTGCCATGTGGGTCAGCTCCCTGACCAGTGATCCAACTCAGGCTGTAGGGGTGATAACTCTGAGACTTAGCCCCTATACCACCCAGGAGGCCCAGGATTATAATTTCGCAAGATGAGACTGGTCCACAGTTAGTCCACAGCACTGTTCCCATTACATCTGAATGTCAGTAATTGGTTCATAGACCACATGTGCTCTATTAACAAGAAAATTCAAATTCTCTAAATTTTATCCTAATTTCTCAGTGTCCCCTTCCTTATATATCAAGAAAGGTTATAAAATTTTCTATACTTCTTATATCAAACTAAACCTTCATACAGCCTCTGGGAACTAAAAAAGTACAAATAAAAACAAAAAAAATATGTAAATATTGTTGTACAAAGTAAAGATTTTTTAAATGCCTTTTTCCCATAAAGTTGTATTTTATTTATAAATTCATAGGTACACTCCTATTCAATAGTATTCAATAGAATTCCCTGTATTTTCAATCACAGTCCTAAATCATTCTTGAATGATTATCTGCTTTCAGGTTCCTCCATGAGGAATAAGATGGCTTCTTCTATCATTATAATTTTTTCATTTGCCTTCAAACCCTTTTTTGAACTTACAAACTACACAAATGCTTATTGCAATAGATAGGGCATCTCCACTTGAAGTATAATCAATAGCATATCAACTGTAATAATTTTCTGACACTGCCTAAGCAATAATTCTGATAAAGAGAAGATGTCAGTCCTAACAAAGTAATGAAATCTAACTTGACTCCAGTGTGGAGCCAGTCTTCCACCTACAGCTACAGCTCCCCTATTGTTCATGGTTTGGGAATGGTCACTGTCATACTCAACTGTATTAAACTAAACTATCCTTCTCTGTGCAGGGTCTTGTATTTCAAAGATAGTTCTCTATTTCATCCTCATCCATTAAAGTGATTATGTGAAGTATATCTTTAAAATAATAATATCCAATACATCTAAGTCCTTACCCAGCCATTCTTCTGAATGTTTTACAAAGAAACAACTTAATCTCACATATCAAAGAACTAGAAAAAGAACAACAAAAAACCCTAAAACCAGTAGATGAAAGGAAATAATAAAAATCAAAGCAGAAATAAATTAAATAGAAACAACAACAACAACAACAAAAATCCAAAAGATCAATGAAATTAAAAGCTGGGTCTTTGAAAAAATAAATAAAATAGACAAACCCCTATCCAGGCTCACAAAGGGAAAACTGGAAAAAGCACAAATAATTAGGATCACAAATGACAAAGGAGAAATCACAACAGACACAGCAGAAATCAAAAGAATAATCAGAAACTACTATGAACAATTATATGCAAACAAGTTCAACAATCCAGAAGAGACGGACAAATTCCTACAACTTTATAATCACCCAAAGCTAGATAAAGAAGAAATAGAACACCTAAACAGAACAATTACAAGCAGTGATAATTGAAATGGTAATCAAAACCCTCCCCCAAAACAAAAGCTCAGATGGATTTACAATTGAATTCTACCAAATATTCAGAAACGAACTAGTGCCTAACCTTCATAAACTTTTTAAAAAAACTGAGAAGGAAGAGATAATACCAAACACGTTCTATGAAGCCAAATTACACTAATACCAAAACCAAACAAGGACAACACAAAAAAAGAAAACTACAGGTGAATCTCTCTAATGAACACTGATGCAAAAATCCTCAATAAAATTTTAGCTATCAGAATCCAACAATGTATTCATAAGGTAATTCACCACAAGCAAATAGGAGTTATTACAGGGACACAAGGATGGTTCAACATCCGAAAATCAAGCAATGTAATCCAACACATCAACAAAAGGAAATATAAAACCCATATAATAATATCAATAGATGCTGAGAAAGCTTTTGGCAAAGTACAACACCCATTATGATAAAGGTCCTTGAAATTCTCGAGATATAAGGAATACCTCAATATCATAAAGGCCATATATGACAACCCACAATCTCATTCTTAATGGTGAATAGCTGAAAGCATTTCCATTAAGATTTGGAACAAGAGGGCCTCTCCTGGTGACGCAGCAGTTGAGCTCTTGGCTGCGAGGCTGCCCTCAGCCTCTGCAGCGCCGGTTGGTTCCCCGGCCACAGGCGAGGGTCCCACCAAAAAAAAAAAAAAAAAAATGAAGATTTGGAACAAGACAAGGATGTCCACTCTCACCACTGCTTTTCAATATAATACTGGAAGTCCTAGCCAAAGCAATAAGACAAGAGAAAGACATACAAGGAATCCAAACAGGGAAGGAAGAAGTTAAACTATCACTATTCGCAGATGATATGATAATATACAAAAAGAACCTCAAAAACTCCGCAGAAAAACTAATAAAACTAATCAATCAGTTTAGTAAAGTAGCAGGATACAAAATCAACCCACAGAAATCATTAGCCTTCCTATACATAATCAATCTGAAGAAGAAGAAATCAAGAAAACCATCCCTTTCATTATTGAAACAATAAAAATCAAATACTTGGGAATAAACCTAACAAAAGAGGTAAAGGACCTATACAAAGAAAACTATGAGACAGCCAATTTGAAGTTTATCACTATCCTGTGAGATAACCGTTATTCCTAGTTTATATATGAGCAACCTGTGGTCTACTTTACAAATGTGAATTCAGCAGGGAAAATCACTTTCTATGATGTTTGCTAAATATAACATTTGCAGTATTATTTGTGGAATGAAAAAGTTTGATGACTAAGTAATGACATTACAGGAATGTATCTACCAGTTTTGTTTTGTTTTT